GTCGGTGAATGAAGTGACGAACTACCGCTTCCGCAAAAGCATGGGATGGGAGATCAAGCCGGCACTGTTGTACCAGGCCTATGTCCCTGCCTCAGAGTATTTCAAGAGAGAATGCATGGCGGAGAGAGGTGCCTGTACTGCTAGGTGGTGCAAGCGGTGCTGGATATTGCCGGATGGCCCTTTGTGCTGAGGTGCCCACCGTGGTGCGCGACATCCTGTACGGCTGGGCGCGTGGCTTCGTGGCGGTCGCCTTGTCAGCAGTGTGGAAGCCCCAGACCTTCACGCAGGAGGCCAGGCTCGTCTGTGGTAATGCCGGGCACCGCTGGGCTTTCTCGGGAGGCCTTCGTGTTCGCCTTCGTGATCTGGGCCGCATGTAGCCTGGCAGCAAGATCGGAGACGGGATGGCAGACGGTGTTGGTGGAGCACGGGTGGGGCAATTCCCCGGTGACGTCGTTCGACGCATGTTTGGCCAGCACGGCCTAGGCATCATCTCGTCGCCCTGCAACGAGTGGCGTGGATACACTCTGCAGCCCAAGGACAAGAAGTAGCCAAGCCGCAGGTATGTCCAAGGTCCTGTGAGTATGAGTGTTGGCTGCACGCAGACGGATGTCAGGCTGTCCTTCGGTGAGTATTTCAAGCCCATCAACTATGCTCGTTCCACGGGTCCCGCGGCTGCACTGGCAGGGGCATGAGCGACACAGCCGCGAAGGTCTCAACACTGATGTCAGTGATTCTCGTGGAAGGCATCGGTGCAACCATCATGGGCATTTCGCTCTTCGTTGGCCGCCTCGTCACCCCCTTCGCGGAGACTGCCTTCGCGTGCTCCAGCTGCATGTCTGCCTTTCTTGCACCGCCTGCGACAGGAGCGCTTGCCAGGTACCTGAAAGGACACCCCGTCGCCGGAGTGGCTGCCCTGGCCATCCTGGTGGGAGGCTTCAAGCTGATCTCCGGAGGGCCCCTCGTCTGCACCACGTCCTTCAAGTCTCAAACATCCTTGTGCCCGACACCCCCACCGCCAGGGAGGAGGAGAAGGAGGAGGAG